AAACACTTTTTGAAAATAGGTGTAATACCCTATTCGTACCGTCCGATAAGGAACTTCGTTCCAAAATAGTTTTTAGTCAGTGGAAAATGGTAGATTTGTGCTGCACTGTTTAGTATATTTGGCTAATATTACCTGGTCACGTTATTTTAAGTAGGCATGGTTCATTTACAGTTTTTTAGTATAATTTAACTGTTTTTTTTTTGGAGTTTATGGCCTGGTATCTAGACCTTTAGGCCAAGTCTTAAGTATTTTTATTCGGTTTATTATAATTTCCCCAAATGTATAATTATCCTTCATAGTTCACTGCTTCACAATATGTTGATGCGTCACATTGTGCAGCCCTTGGGAGATTTTGACGGCAACTTGAGCCAGCAGACAGCTGACAGTTGGCGATGGTATCTAAAGGCGCATATGTAGACAAACAGCTTATCTTGAGAATCCATCGCCATCAGAGCACTTGTTTCACCGTTTCCACTAATAGTTCACATGCGTAGACAGTTAATACACAAAATCGCACCACTTTTACATATCAAAGTCCACTTCAAACCATTATTTAAACAATAACACAGGAGCAGCAAACCGACGCCGGTCAAGTTCCCGCCAAAACTCAATTTAACTGTTAATAAATAATGGTTAACAGGTTAGAAAGCCGTTAAATAAATGACAGGTTTTAAAACTTAAATCGTTAGCGTTAATCGTCAATTTAATATTTTAACGTTTTCGATTAATAACAATTTTGTTGCAGACTAAGTTGAAGATTATTGATTTGATAAGAATTTAAATTACTTTTATTTTTACTGGAATGATCTTTCCTTCGTACCTTTTCCAGGTTTAGGACTGGCTGAGTAAAAATAGTATCCCGGCGTACTCAAAAAATTATCTGATTGTATATACATTATTCATAATTTTTGTTTGTTTTTTGTTAGTTTTTTTTTTCCTTTGTTCTATTTACAATTATATATCAAATGTCATAACCTGCAAAACGGCCTTCGTCTAAGTTGACATTTAAAAATAGCAGTTTCTCTATTTTGCTGGTAGTTAGTATTGTTCTTCTTTGATTTACAATTAGCTCCGATTTGAAGAACATTCTTTCTCACGGTACTCATGTTGCGACTGTTACATTTTCTATGTAAACTTTGGCTAAGTTTAAACAAATTTTTGGTTCTCCATCATTCCAAAGGATTGTTCCAGTCACCTGTGGTATTTGTCCTTGGTAATAAGTCGTCGGCCAAATAGGTGTCCACTTATTTTATGGCTTTTGATAACGGAGTGCCCGTAGTGGAAGTTACCTCTATTATTTGATTAAAAATATTCCATGGACTGAATTCATTCCTATTTCTTGTCGATTCATTTTGATTTGAAGTTTGGGCCAGTGTTGCAGCATTAGTTTTGGATATTTCCATGGCGACGACCGTTCGTACTCTATCTTTTGTTTTGACAGGATCAGCGTTGTCTTCAAATCCCTGCATCTTAAATCTAGAGTCCAAGAAAGTACAAAAACTAAATGTACCACTTTGCTCTATCCCTTTGAATCTGTCTGATAAACCTAATTTTAACAATAAAACTATATCATGGACATTTGACGTTAGATTACCTTTCTCTAATATTTTCTTACAAGATTCTATCAGACAACGTGTCATTATTAATACATAGCCATCAAATATGTATGGTCGCTCATGGTTCTTCTCACTTCAAACTTTCTCTTCGAATGGTTCCAACACCTGACATAACTGTTTGTAAGTGGTCCATTCTCCGAAGTAATCGTTGGCATGTCTTTGTCTGCTAACGCCACTATCTTTAAAACTGCCTCTTTAATTTCAATTATTCTCTTCAACATAGTATGTTTCGAGTTACACCTCGACTCGACATCTTGCAATGGCCGTTTTGGAAATTCATTTTGCTGCAGTTGGATTCTAGCCAGTCGCTCAGTAGAAACTGAGCTTTTTTATGTGAGTCGCAATTCGTTTTATATTGTCTATTTGTCTTTGGCAAATTTTAATTGCATCCTCCATTTTTAAATTGTATTATGTAATTGCTGTATGCTGGCCCGAAAATTGCCAACATCCCAATAACACATTTTTATTTTAAAATTTGCTGTGACGTCATGTCCTGTTATTGCAATATAAGAATCACCTACTCTAGAAGTCCACATAATAGGGGTAATGCAGACGGTTTTTGCTTCTTCTGCTACATATGCTTTTATCGTTTTTGTGTAGCTCGCTTGTAGCATTGAAAGCCGACAGAATTTTTCTTTTCGGTAATTTATAACCTGTAACCCACCTTAAATATTTTCTAAAGGATCTTTCTTCTACAATTAAAAATGGATGAAACGCGTCTATACATAGATCAAGCAGATCTGAAACTATTAGCTTTTTTTTTGTTGAGCGGATATTTTTTGTGATATACGTTTCCATCACCTTTTGCCGCTTAGGTTGTGCGGGTGCTTGCAATTGTACCGATTCTCTTGGTAGGGAAGAAGACGTAATAGTCGCCGATGTAATAGGTGTAGGTTCAAATTTTTGTCGCTAAACTGGCTGTGAGGAAGTTGACTTTTCATTTTCCTGACTTATCGAAATGTACGTTGAAATGTGTTTCCTTTTAAGACGGCTTCTTAAGTTGAAGATTGTGGATTTGTAACTAATCTTTTCTTGACATAAGTTGCATATGACTTTATCACCAACGTTTTCCTTTTTAAAGTGGTGCCACAACAAACTTGAATTTCTACGTGCCGCTAACATAATGTCCAAGTTTTGTCACAAAACACTGTTCACGTAAAATACCAACCTAATAGATATTATTTTACAGCAAAACTTCAACTTAAAAACACTCGTCCTCAACGCGTTATGCGAACAAAACAATCTCACAAATTTTACTCTTCACCGACACTCATGGATACCGACACACACTAAATACAAAATCATAACAAATAACAAATGAACTTTCTTTACTCGCTCACGCTCACACACACACACGCACAATACCGCTTCCCATGCATCGACGTGACGGTGTTCGGTAACCTCCGGAAGTGACGAATATTTCCAAAGGAGACTAAATTCACAGAAATTTAAAAAAGAGTATTGAAATAATGCGTTCAGTGGGATGACGTAAATTGATAGCTAATATTTTCAACATGGTTTTTCATTAATGAATAAGAGTTACCACATTTACGAATGAAAATCCTTTAAAAAACCGTTTATTGATTCAACGTCTACATCTAGTTTTAAGTGGTTTTAAGCAAAAAACCGGTTAAAATAGCGCATAGTGCCATATTGCTATGTAAGTAGCCGCCTTGACACTATGGATAACCATGAAGTTATAGATAAAGAAACTTCATGTGGATAACGCATGATCGCGCGGGGCTTCGGCAAGCGCGGCAACTAGCTCTAGCAGTAACGCTGTTGTGAGCGAACGTATTAAGCAAATTTTTCGCACACGACATAGTTTAATGTTAAACGTTGGTTAGTTAATGTATATGAATATAAAATAATGTATATAAGTAGTTGATTTTTGTATATACAATCAATGAACTTTTAAATCCGCCTATTTGATTTACAATTTATATTAACTTAACCTTTAAGTACCAACGTACATTTTTTGTAAAGTTAGTACCGACGTGAGGTCAGAGAGGCCGCGTATATTATATAGTGTTTTTTAAAGAAAGTGATGATTTAAATATCGGCCTTTGCATTATGATGAAAAGTGAAGGGTTTCAAGTAAAAATAAGTATAAAAAGGAATTCAACTTTATTAAATTTTTAAATATAAGACTAAAATAATATTTGGCTTGAATTTTGGGGAAAAGTCCAACTATTAGATATAAAAAATCAAAAAACGAAGAATGATCTTCTCAGAATAACAAAAAATAGTATTTCTTACTTATCACTTATAACTTTTATAAAAAAGAAAATAAAGTAGGAACATAAATCTTCTAAAAAAAAAATGACCACAGTCCAACTAAACCTTAAAATCTAAGCTTAGGCAAGGCACACTTGTTTCGCGTACTGCAAAAAAACGTGTTTTTTTGCACGAATAACATCTATATATTGATTTTCTATTCAGTTTAGGTTGACATGAGAGACAAGACTTTCGTGTCTTGACTTCCTCAGCTTTATCTTCAGATGTCTCTGGCTTATCAGAACCAAGTACTTTTGCCAAACTCATCCTTAGTTCATGGGGTTCATATCTCTTTGATTGCTATAAATCTATCGCAGAACTATTTCTTTTACAATTTGAAGTCTCTAGTATATTCATAATTCACAATATCTGTAAAAATAACAGTTCACCTTAACAAAAGATAAAACGAAACAGTTACGTAATTACCGACGTGCGGCCTAAGAGGCCGCGTCGGAATTTTAAATCGTAATTACTCACCAAATGCGCGTGCAATCTCACCACTTCCTGCTCCGACGTTAACGTGAGCACTGACCTTGCAGCTACTTAAAAGCGGGGATCGGTATTACGCGGGAAAAGGGGTAAACTAGCTAGTCAAGTGCCTGCCGGGGCTTCACAGACCGCACGTCGGTACTTAAAGGTTAAAATTACGTTTACATAAGTTATAGACATTCCTAAGCATGAAAAATATGAAGGACGGTACATTGGTTTTTTTACTGCTTTATTTTATTTTAGACTAAAATGCGACGTAGTTACTAAAATTAATATTCTTATATAGCATCTTCCAATGAAGGACATGTAATGTAACGTGCTACGAGATTTAGCGTGCTGCCAGACTTTACACACCTACCGGCAGCCCACACACTCTTTTATAAATAGCGCGCTATAACATAGCGTATTTAATAGCGCGCTAAAAATTTATAGTTTATAGTCTGTAGCGTGCTATTAATTTATAGCCGTTTTGAACAACTCCAGTTTTAGGCTGTTTACTGTTTTGAGCTTTAACATTTCATTTCATTGCGTTTTGTTTAAATTTTATTGAAGCCAAGCTGAAAGCAAGTGTTTATTTTACTTTTATAGTGTTCTACGATACAAATATATTTAACAGAAATGGCTGTAAGTATTTTGTCTAATTATTTACACATCATTTTGCAATTTCTATCGTCCTAACCTCTAACATGCAATATTTTAGAACAGTTTGTAAACTGAAACTGTAGTCTTAAACCTGGTTTTAACTTGTAAACAACTATTTTAGTCAATAGCCGCAGCGCAAGTACAAGAGGTGCGTTCTATAACACGTATCGAAAGAATTGGCGCGCATTCCCATATAAGAGGACTTGGTCTCGATGATTCTCTGGAGCCGAGGGCCGTTTCACAGGGAATGGTGGGACAAAAGATGGCCAGGAAAGCCGCTGGTGTCGTCCTACAGATGATTCGAGAAGGTAGTACTAATATTGAATAAACATTACTGTTGCCATAGTTACCAGCGATTTTTAGGTTAATACGTACTTGTAAAAATATTTACTCGTATAGACTTCTGCTTGAAACGATTTATGTGATCTCATTACATTAACACTTTCACTGTCCGGTTTGCAGACACAATAGTAAGACAATAGCAATGACCTATATGTAGTGCACGAGACAGCGAAAGGATTAATGGAAGCACTAAAATTTATTAGAAATATTTAAAATATATATAAGACTTAAGGACCCTCAAGAAAAGATCCTACTCTTTTTAAAAGGCCTGCAATGCATCTGCAATTCCCCTGTTGATGCAGTTGTTCATGGGCGGAAGTAGACACTTACCATTAGGTGAGCCACATGCTCGTTTGCCCCCTCTTATATAATATGTATGTATTTTGTAATAACCATGATAATTAATTATGTAGTGACGGTGTAAGAATACTCACTAACCCGTGCGTATATACAATATTATAAATAAGTAATTAACATATGACCTATATTACTGGGTATTCGAAAATGACTGCCTTGTTGGTCTTAAAACTTGGGATCTGGTCAAAATCAGTTATTAGGTTTTTCTGTCGAGAAATTCTAAGTAGCAGTTCAGTGTTGGGAAGTTGGTAGTGATTAACTGTCCTGGTCCTGCCCCTATCTCTCACAGGTTATCTCGGATGGTAATTTATTGTAAATAATTAATTAAATTATATAAGTGGTAGAGCCATGCTGCACCTATATTCGTAGTATAGTTGTAGCACGAATGGGTCGGCTCGTCTGGGAAAGGACTAAAATAGCAGCTTAACACTGCTGTGTTTCGTATAGTGAGTGTAGAGAACCGGAGACCCTTTTTACAGGAAAAGAGTCATTCCATCTTAGTCCTCACTGCTGACAACGCATCTGCATTTTTATTTGCAAACGAGGATAGATGTAGATGTCTATGGGCCACAGCAACCACTTACCATCAGCTGGACTGTGTGCTCGTTTGTCACCCTATCTTATATAAAAAAAAATCCCATCAAACCATGAGAATGAAGGAGAGATGGACCCATGTTTACCCATATCCACTTCAATCCTGTTCTGTGCAGAAGGCTAGTCATTGTTGAGACTCACTGCCATGAACGAAATTCGGTCCGAAGGACATAATTATTATGTCCTCCGGACTGAATTTTGTTGTTTGAAATATAATACCTATATTAAATAACTCTCCAAAATTGGACAAGCTCTTATAGCATGGGCAATAATTAAAAAAAAAAAGAAACTATATATTCAAAGAAAACTATATTTTAGTTATTGGCTAAAAAGGGAATACTACATACATTGCATGTGAAAATTAATATAATACATGAAATCATCTCACAGAATACCAGCGTAAAATAGCAGCTGCTTAACGCTGCTGTGTTTATAGGGAATGTAGAGAACCTGAGACCCTTTTTACTGAAAACGAGGTATAAGGTGAGCCACATGGTCGTTTGCCCCCTCTCCTATAAATGAATAAATAAAGTCTCCACTGGTGACAAAGCATCTGCATTTTAATTCATAATCAAGGATAGGTGAAGATGTCTATAGGCCACAGCATCCATTTACCATCAGGTGTGTTTTTTTGTCACCTGTGTGTTTGTTTATCACCCTTTTTCTATAAAAAAAAAATCTTTGTACTTTATTTCCAGGCAAAATAGCAGGCAGGGCCGTACTTCTGGCAGGACAGCCTGGAACTGGTAAAACTGCTATTGCAATGGGGCTTGCACAGGCATTAGGCCCTGACACTCCTTTTACGAGTATGGCAGGTAAATATGATTCTTAAACTTTTGTTATGCTAGCTGGCTCTAGACATTGTTCTGCACTTTCTGGTAGGTGGTAATATAAGTTTCACTCTTTGATTATTACAGGGTAAATACAAAATATTGTTATTACTCACCCACAGTGCTTTCTTTTTCATCGGACTTAAAAAAGGAGGAGAGGTTCACAATTCATCGGAATCTTTTTTTTATGTATGAACACCGATTACACGAAGGTGCATGAACCGATTTGGAAAATTTTGTTTTTGTTTCAATGGGTATACTTCCCAAGGGGTCCCATTTCAATTTTATCAAAATTGGTCAAATGGGTTTTAAAAAATCAACAATAAATTATATTTATATTGAAGTTGGTTGTACTAATTTTTTAATTTTACCACTTGTGGTGTAACCTTTTGGGGTTCATAGGCTTTTCTTTTTTTGGCACTAAACCAACATCGTTTTCAATACAACACAACGGACTATAAAATTGAGGGAATAGAGAGTGCACCAGTGTTTGCGCTCACACTCACACTACTTATTGAAAGTAATTTTTTACTTTTACCACTGGTTCGAAAAAAAACCTCTGTCCCGGGAAGGACCAGCAAGAAACTCAGCGGGACTTTTTTTAAAAGCACAATTTACAATATAATATTTTATACAAGCCACTGCGTCCTCGGCGTCCATAAAATGTTTTTCTCTAAGTTTTACTTTCATTTTCGGAAATAAATAAAAATCACAAGGTGCGAGGTCGGAACTATAGGGCGGGTGACCCAGTAATTCCACGTCTGACGTCGCCAAGTAGTCGATTGTTTGCTTGGTGGTGTACGACGAAGTGTTGTCGTGGTGAAGGAGGTTGTTTGTCCCGAACTTTTACTTAGACATGTGGCAAGCAATTCTTCTGTTCTTCAATTCTTATTATGTGAAAACATTTAGAAACATTCCCAAGAGTTATTATCAGTCATGTACTCTTTAGTAGTATAATAACCCTACAAATTACCATCGTTAAGCACTACTTAGAGATTGTTTTACATTTGTTTTAGGTTCGGAGATATATTCCCTGGAAATGAGCAAGACTGAAGCACTGACACAAGCCATCAGGAAGTCTATTGGCATTAGAATAAAGTAAGTTTAAATTTGTACCGTGTAGTGGCAGTGTAAGAGAATTCACTGCCCTATATGATGCCGTGGCTGTTGTAAGAGGTGACAGACGGAAATTATATTTGTTATAACAGTAAAAAACTAACACACAGTCCATCTGATGTGCAGTGGATGCTGTTTTCAAAGACGTCTGCATCAATTTAGTAAAAACCTGTAATTTTGACATTACAAACAGACATTTTAATTTTATTTATTTGTATTGATTGTATAAATTATATGTATACATAACTTTTTTCCAGAGAAGAATCAGAGATAATAGAGGGAGAAGTAGTAGAAGTAGTGATAGAGAGAGCAGCGGGGACAGGGGGCGCTCGCGTTGGACGTTTGACCTTGAAGACTACCGACATGGAGACAAATTATGATATGGGGACTAAAATGATAGACTCTCTATTAAAGGAAAAGGTAAGCACTTTATCATATAGGATGGCGAAAATACTGTTGCTTCTGAAGAGTGACCGAATGTCCATATTACTGAAATATCCATCAAGCCTATGATATAAAAGGCTCCATCTTGAAAGGTTTTTTTCACACAGTCCACCTGATGGTAAGTGGATGCCCATTAACATCTACATCTATCTTCGATTAAGAATCAAAATGCAGATGCGTCACCCCTGAGGACTAAGATGGAATGCCTCATTTGTAGTAAAAATTGTCTGGTTCTCTACACTTACCGTACCAAATACAGGAGAATTAAGCTGCTAATTTACGCTGGTATTCTGTGAGAGAGTGATTCTTCCATTAGTGGTACAACTATATAGCTGTGGCATGGCTCTACCACGTATTGAACTGGTGACTAGGAAATGCCAATAATATTTTGTAACTACTGTTAGATGGTGTATAACCGTCTTGTTTATGTCAGACACAATATAGAGACCAGAGATGGCAAGCAACATCCTATCATTAAATTCAAGTTACAGAACATGCATTTGTATGGCCTACATATATTTGTTCCGGGTCTGGATGTAGGACAGGATCATAGGGCACGAGTGTGTGCGTAATCACAGGTGTACTCTCAGTCCGATGGGACTGCAATTGGACAGAACCAGAAGGAGATCAGGTGCAGGACGATCGGTCCTCCGTGCTTTCCGAGGCACATGGGTGAAACACCACCAACTTCCTGACTACGAACTGCTACTGAGAATTTCTTGATAGATAAACTTAATAACTGATTATTTTGGCCTGGCTGAGGATTTCAAACAAAATCAGCAGTCGCGTTTATGACCACTAGTCCAATGAGACAGCCATAATGAAAATTAAATTGAATAAATTGAGGGCGAAAATAAACTATTACGCCCATTACCTACAGATGTAGACATATGTTTTGTGGTAGAGCCACGCTGCAGCCACATTAGTAGTATGGTTGTAGCACAAATGGGTCGGCTCGACCGGGGTAGGACCACGCTCTCACAGAATATAAGCGTAAAATGGTAGCTTGACACTGCTGTGTTTCGTATGGTGAGTGTAGAGTACCGGAGACCCATTTTACTGGAAACGAGGTACTCCATCTTAGTCCTCATGGGTGACGAGGCATCTGCATTTTGATTCTTTATTGAAGATAAATGTAGATGTCTATGGGTCACAGCAACCACTTACCATCAGGTGGACTTTGTGCTCGGTTGTTACCCTATACTATAAAAAAAAGACAGACTACAGACTTCCATTAGGCACGATCCTAATACACCACTCACGCTTCTATTAAATCCATATTATATCTTTGCAAATGTGGTCATTGGTTAAGAGTACCCTTAATTTGGCTCATCTTCAATATATCGTCCATTTGGTCTTGTTTCGTCTAGTCCCCTACCGACCCTGCCACTTAATGAGGGTTAATAATTTTCTCCTCACTAGATGTCGCTAGTTGACGCTGAGGGAAAGTTTTTTTTGTTACTCAATGTCATTTAATTGAGAAGTTAGTTTTAAATGAAAGTTTATCAGTTTCTAGAGTATTATATTAATACACAAAACAATGTGTCAGTGATTTGCTCTTTAATTGTTTGCACATTTTTTAAAATTATTCTATTTTTATGAATATCTGTGGTTTGGTTTATTTATTTTTAACCTTAATAATATAAAATATAGCCAATAGTACAAAGAGAAACAATAACTTTTACGAACAAATTAACTTCCCCACTATGAAATCTGTCAAATATCCTCACTTTCTAGTGGCGCCGCCCTGGTGGCAGAAAAAGTCGTGGATGCTCCCATTCTGCAGCATATATTTGCTTTGTCACTCTTTTCCATTCATTCTTTCTACGTGTCTAAACCACTATAATAAAAAATACAAAAAGAAAACAATATTTAGTGTTAACGCCTTTAGGCAAACTGTTACACTAAATACACTGTTGTGGAGTCCTCCTGGGTTGTAACTACTAACTATCCTCTTTCTTATTTCTGTTAAAGTAACAGTACACTCACTGCCGAGTTCGTTTTACGACAATCCATCTTATTCTACATTGCTGATAATGCACCTGAAGCCTTATTTCATCATCATCATCCCAGCCTATCGAAGTCCTGAACATGGCATCCCCATACATTGCCTCATAGGGATAGGGAGAATATTTGCAATAGTTGTCAGCAGGCAGGTTTGCAACTGTAAATTTTTATTTGTTACTAGGAAGACGCTGCTGCCCATCTCGTACAAATAATAATTTAAAATTTTGTACAACCAACTTCAATATAAATTATTAAGAATAACTCAGAAATTACTGGTCAGGCCTTTATCAAATTTATATGGGACCACATGAGAAGCACCAGCTTGCAAATAAAAAATAAAACATTGAAATCGTTTCACCCAAAAAAAAAGTTATGAGGTAACACACATTAAAAAAAAACATACAGTTGAATTGAGTACCTCCTCTTTTTTGAAATTGATAGATAAGTAGTACAAACTACAAATAAAAAGGAAATATAAAAATATCCTTCTTTCCCTAATTTTCCCGCCAAGACTTGAGAGACGTAATTAAATGTGAAACACTAATACAATATTTTTTCAGGTGCAAGCTGGTGATGTTATTACCATAGACAAGGCGACGGGTAAAATAAATAAATTAGGAAGAAGTTTTGCCCGAGCGAGAGACTATGATGCTACAGGTATTTTACAAAATTTAGCTGACTTCTAAACAAGTGGTAAAATTAAAAATTTTGTACAACCAACTGCAATATAAATAAAATGAGAACTTTTACAAAAATTTACTTCGCAAATATCCGCGTTATAAAATAAAATGATGTGTCTTACCTAGTATGAAGAAGCACCTCCCGCCCTCCCTCAATTGCGTGCACTAACCCCGTCACCACTAATCCCAGCACCGCTACTCCCAACACCACTACACTAGGCAAGACACACCACTGACGATAATACGACACGTGTTTCGCCTCGTGTAGAGTAAATTGCGAAGTAAATTTTTGTAAAAGCTTTTATATAATGGATTTCCGCAAAGTAACGCCTGATTCTATTAATTATATTAAAATGAGAACATCAATGTAGTCGAAGTCAACTAAATATGATGTAGAGATAAAGATTTAATAAAACATACAATTATACCGATTGACGGCTCTGTAGTGCAGGCTTAGCAATGAGTCGCCGCACTAAGCGTCGCGGGTTCGAATCCCGCCAAGAACAAGTATTTGTATGGCCTACAAATAATTGTTCCGGGTCTGGATGATTGTCCTTGTGATATTTATGTATGTAATCTGCCTCTACGATACAGGAGACAATCCCAGTATGGAGGTAACGTTTTTTTTTTAAATAATAAAAAAATATATATATAACACCAAATTGCCGGAACAAGGATTGTTGTTTTAATAGATAGTAAAAAATTCATTATGTAATCAATAAGCTACTTTAGTTCAATTACCTATATGAAGTCCTGTTATTTTGTTCAACAATTCTTTACATTTCTTCAGGTCAGCAAGCCCGCTTCGTCCAATGTCCTGAAGGAGAGCTGCAGAAGCGAAAAGAGGTAGTTCACACTGTCACACTCCACGAGGTGGACGTCATCAATTCCAGGACCCACGGATTCTTGGCTTTGTTCTCAGGTATGTGTACAAAATTTTTTTTTTTACTTATCACAGTCCTTAGTGGCAGCTGGTGATGAATCCATAGATGGTAAATCGCACTGTCCTAGCATGACATAAGCCACTTTTTCCTTGAATACGCCCAGATTGTATTTGGACGGAAAGAGTCTTCGGTAGATTAGAATGTTTGTAATATCGACAACAAAGGGGTGAAGACCCGTCGACCGCTTGATTGTCCGGTGATGGAAAGGGGAGGCAGGAGTAGCACGTAATTCTTTTTTTTTTATAGGATAGGGTGACAAACGAGCACACAGTCCACCTGATGGTAAGTGGTTACTGTGACCCATAGACATCTACATCTATTCTCAGTAAAGACTCAAAATGCAGATGCGTTGTACCCGTGAGGACTAAGATGGAATGCCTCTTGTCCAGTAAAAAGGGTTTCCAGTTCTCTACACTCGCCATACGAAACACAGCAGCGTTAAGCTGCTATTTTACGCTGGTATTCTGTCGAGAGCGTGGTCCTTCTCCGGTCGAGCCATCCCATTTTTGCTACAACTATGCTACTTATATAGCTGCAGCATGGCTCTACCACGTGAGAAAAATATGCCATAGTTGCCACTTGCTACGCTTATTATTGTTTTTTAATTGTTGTGAGGATAACGGATGATCTCCTGCCTTGCTCCCCCTTTTGTTGCCTCTTACGACAACCACGGAACGATTTGAGGTGGTAGATATTATTAACAGAATTATAACATGTTACACATTATTGCATAGTATTATTGATCGCTTTTGTTTTTTTTTTCTATGTTTGATTCATTTGATTTGTTTATTGCTTTTGTTGTTTATTATTACTTTAATTATTATTTCTATATATTATGTAATTGTAATAAGTAACTTTGATATGTAATTAATTGTATTCGATTGGATTAGGTGCATATATAGTTTTAAAAGTGTGTACTCGCCGACAAACTGATTGCGGTTTGACGAGAGAATAGTCAAGTAAATGTACATAACTTTGCATGAATAAATAAATTTAAAAATATATATATTTTTACACTGCCACCAAATGGTGGTCAAATATAAAAAACAAATGTTTACCTACAAGAAACAGTGACGTAATGTATATTACTGTACAATTTCTATACAAAACTTTTGTTTTTACAGGTCTTAATAAGTATTTTAATTGACATGACAAATTACCCATTTCTTGTCACAGGTGACACTGGAGAAATAAAATCGGAGATCAGGGAGCAGATAAATAGCAAAGTGGCAGAGTGGAGGGAAGAGGGCAAAGCTGAGATGATACCAGGTGTACTTTTTGTTGATGAGGTGGGTGATAAATTTTTCTTTTCTTTTTTTAAAACTTTACCCCCATACTAGCATTTTCTCCTGTATCGTGGAGGCAGTTTACAAACATAAATTGCACAAGGATGAACATCCAGACCCGGAACAATTATTTGTAGGCCATACAAATATTTGTTGCGTGCGCGATTTTGCTGATGTTTGTAAACTGTCCCCATGATACAGAAGAAAATCCTAGTGTCGAGGTTAAGTTGTTAAAAAAAAAGTTAACCTTAACTAAATATCACAATACATGAGCAACCTGGGTTTGGACCCCGCTGGCACCAATGACATTGTTAATAACAATTTTAAATGCATATTTACCACGTGCTCTACGGTGAAGGAAAACATCGTGAAGAAACCTGACAATCATAGAAATTAAAAAAAAATATTTCGAAGACATGTGAAGTCCGCCTACACGTATTGGGGCAGCGCGGCGAAATGAAAGGAGGTCTGTGCCCAGGAATGGGACGTAGTATGCTGTAAATTTTTAAGTTTATGCAAGAATCATTCTTCGAGACCATTTGTCCACTTTTACATTTCATATTGTAAATTAGCATATTCCTAATTTATTGTTTTTTTTTTCACAGGCCCACATGCTGGACATAGAGTGCTTCTCGTTCCTCAACAGAGCCTTGGAGTCGGAAACCGCACCCATCGTGATAATGGCAACCAACCGAGGCATCACACGTATCAGAGGCACAAATTACAAAAGCCCCCATGGGATACCCCTGGATCTTTTAGACAGGATGATTATAGTGCCCACATCACCGTACTCCCACCAGGAGCTGAAGGAGATACTGAATATCAGGTACTTATGGACAAACTATTACCATATTTACGTGGTAGAGCCATGCTGTAGCTATATTGTGGTTACAGCACGAATGGGTCGGCTCGACCGGGGAAGGACCACGCTCTCACATAATACCAGCGTAAAATAGCAGCTCAATGCTGCTGTGTTTCGTATGGTGAGTGTAGAGAGCCGAAGACCCTTTTTACTGAAAACGAGGCATTCCATCTCAGTTCTCAGGGGTGAAGGCGCATCTACATTTTGATTTTTAATTGAGGGCAAATGTAGATGTCTATGGGCCACAGCATCCACTTACCATCAGGTGGACTGTGTGCTCGTTTGTCACCCTATCCCATAAAAGAAATGTCCCAACATGTGATAACGACGTGGGGGAATCCATCAACCAATATCGTCCAGTGGGTAAAAGACATGATTATGGGAAGCACAAGATAGATGATGATATACTCCATTTACGCCAGATGTAAATATTTAGGTTGGCTACAAAAAGAAACGTCAATGGTGCGAATCTTCAACGTCTCGCACAATGAGATCAACGTATTTTTGTGCAACCAGAGCAGTGCCACTTGAGTGAGGAGAAGTATTATTTGACACATTTCTTAGCGGGAGAAATTATTTTTTTTAGAAAAATGTAGTTGTTAATGGTTCTTTCTGAAATATTACTTATATTTTTCGAACCAGTGGTAATTAAACAAAAGAGTGACTTTCAATAAGTATTATTTATAATCTGTATTGAATAAAAAAAAGTTTGTTTTATATTAATAAGGATTATAAATGGATGAACCAAACTACGGATAATTCTAAAAGTAGAAGAATTAAAAATTAAATTGTGTAGAAAATTAACCATACAGCACGGAGGCCTTGTTTTGTGTTTACAGGGTTATTTTTCAAAGACTAGCCAAATTTTAAACTTAAGTTCAAATATATCAACAGTGATATACCGTTAATGCAGTTTTTGAAAATACGAGTAAATAAGACTTCTACTTTTATTTGCAACTATCCCAAATTGAATGTAATTTATGGGCAACAACGTTTCTGCCTTCTGATCGACTGTTACGAATGTGTGTGTGCGCAGAAAAATCTGTTAAAATAATGCATTACCACACATTTAGAATTTAAAAAATAAAAGAGACAATGTTTGAGATTTTTTTTAATTAATTTTTCTTCGCCGTTTGCCTATATTACTTATTCTGAACCTTCTCTGCAAAATTGGCTAGTTATTGCAAAATGACACTAGAAACGTATTTGTTTTTTATGTACGATACAAAAGCGTTCTTTAGAAATAATATTGAACACATTTTATCGGCGCAGTGAAGTAATTTATTTATTAATTAAGATTTTTTTAGCTTGGATGCTTGTCTTTTAAGCTATGTCTTAATTTATCTCAGAATCAATCGTTTATAGTACACCGCTTCACAATATGTTGATGCGTCAAATTGCGTTGGAGTTTTTTGATGGCAACTTAAGCCAGCAGACAGTTGGCAATAGTACCTCAAAGCGTCCAAGCAAACAGACACCATTTCTTGAGATTCACTTCACCATCGCAGCACTAATACAAGAGCAGCCATCCACTGCCGGTCAAGTTCTCGCCAAAACCTCGCAGTGAAGTCATAAACCATGTTTGAAAGCACGCGCTGTCGATATTAGTCCCGTAGTGAGTGACTCACATTCAGCTTGTCAATAACATCACCACACGATCACTGAATGTGTTGCCATAAAGCGGGCCAAAATTAATTTTTGGGTTTTCCTGTCATAAATTTTCAGTAGCATCTCTTAGGCGAGAAATTGGCGATTTTCTCTACCCCCGTGCCCCGGAAAGCACGTAAAGCCGTTGGCCCTGCGCCTGATCTCTCTCCGCTCGTGTCAAATTACTGTCCAATCGGACTATGAGAGTGAGGGAATAGAGAGTGCACCTGTGCTTGAGTATGCACTCGTGCACAATAATCCTATCCAGATGGCTCGTCTACGTTGAGATGGGCCGCCGTCACCGATCATTCGATCTGGAGAACATTAATTGCCAGTGAGAGCGCAATATGCCCCGCTGCATATTCGATGATGATCGTATCGATATTAATAATATAATTAAGTCATTAAATAATACAAATAGCACAGGTTATGATGACGTTAGCACAAAGGTATTAAAAAATGTATCAACCATCATCTCATCCGTTTTATCCTACATCATAAATTTAAGTATAGCCTCTGGAATATTCCCAAATAAATTAAAAAAAACGGTAGTTAAACCTATATTTAAGAAAAAAGACAAGAGTGATGTTGCAAATTATAGACCCATAGCACTCATACCGATATTCTCTAAAATTTTTGAAAAGGTAATAAGTCACAACCTTAATGATTTCTTTGAAAAATATAAAATATTCACAGAGAAACAAGTCGGATTTCGAAAGAATAAAAGTACAAATTTAGCTGTCTTGCAATTTCTGCGTACTGTAATGACAAGCCTTAATAATAAGCACTTAGTATCTGCTCTATATATGGATTTAACTAAAGCTTTTGACTATGTTAATCACAGTATCCTCTTAAGTAAACTAGAAGCATACGGAGTCCGAGGAAATGTCCTCAATCTCATAAAAACATACTTAATAAATAGACAACAATGTACACAAATTACCCGTATATGCTCAAAAACGTATAGACAAATAGTTTACTCATCCTCATATCGCGAAGTAACTCAAGGAGTACCCCAGGGAAGTATTTTTGGTCCATTGTTATTCCTTGTTTATATAAACGATTTACCAAATTATATAAATCAAGATATGGTACTATTTGCAGACGATAGCACAGTGATGTTTACAAGCACAAGCAAAAATCAAATGATATCTGATATAAATCAAACATTAGACATAATAATTCAATGGTTATCAAATAATAATTTATTAATTAATCTAAATAAAACAAATCTAATGACATTTAGAAACGTGAAAAATAATTTAATAAATATTAATATTTGCTACAACGGACAAGAAATTAATGTAGTCGAAAATGCAAAATTTTTAGGCCTTAATCTCGATTCAAACTTAAAATGGAAATCTCAAGTGGAAGATATTTGTACTAAACTCAATCGGTTCTCTTATGCTCTATATAGACTTGGAACAATTGTGAATCAATCTGCCGTCATCACTGCGTACCACGGTTATGTAGAATCGGTGTTAAGGTATGGTGTCATCTTTTGGGGTAACTCTGTAGATAATGAAATGATATTTAGAGCCCAAAAAAGATGTGTAAGAGCCATTGTGAAGTTAAAACAGACAGATAGTTGTAAACCATTTTTTATTAGTCTGAAACTGTTAACACTTCCGTGCCTTTATATATATGAGATAGCCGTTTTTGTTACTACGCATATTTCTTTATTTGAGTGCCTACACAGTAAACGTAATAATCAAAAAATATGTTTTCCATCAAACAACACAGCCCAATTTAACAACAGTGTATTTTGTATGGCCCCTAGAATTTATAACCATTTACCATTACACATTTTGAGATGCTCCAATATAGATAAGTTTAAAATACTATTGAAGCAATTTCTTCTTAATAAGGCATACTACAGTGTGAAAGAATATCTCGAAGACAAATATGAAATTCAATAATTGACTGTTACATGACTGAGAATAACTAAATTTACTTGACTTATACAATATTATCTAAATTGACTTATCGCTATTATTTTTGATTTTGTATCATGTTAATTCCAATTTTAACTAGAATATGTTTAAGTAATTTAATATAAAAGTAATAAAATGTGATGGACATTGCATGCCAAATGGCGGAATATAGCTGTACTAAATGTTTGTTCTATAAGTGATAAACTATGTAAACACCAACTGTATCAACCTATATTCGCAATAAACGAATTGAATTTGAATTTGCACTCAGTACCTGCAACGACAAATAGTGTATAGTCACTGTTAATTGTATTTAATCTGTTGCTTGTACATTGCGTTCTTTCAGTCTATACAGCTTATTAAAGTCCACTACCTAACATAGGCCTCCCCGTATATTGCCTTATAAGAGAGATATTTACCATATTTATTATTTATTTATTTTATAGAATAAAGGGGACAAAGAGCACACAGTCCGTCCACCTGACGGTAAGTGGAAGCTGTGGCCCATAGACATCTACATTCATCCTTGATTTGGAATCAGAATGCAGTTGCGTTGTCACCCCTGAGGACTAAGATGGAATCCCTTGTTTCCAGTAAAAAGGGTTTTAGCAGCATTGAGCTGCTATTTCATGCTGGTATTTTGTGAAAGCGTGGTCCTACCTTGGTAAAGCCGACCCATCCGTGCTACAATCATAATATAGCGGCAGTGTAGCTCCACCACGCGTGGCAAGCGCAAGCCCTGTATATTTGTACATTCAATTACAGATGCGAGGAAGAAGACTGCCAAATGTCAGCTGACGCGCTGACTGTCCTCACCCGAGTGGCGACTGAGACCTCACTCCGTTATGCCATACAACTGATCACCACGGCGTCGTTAGTTGCTAAACGGAGGAAAGCCTCAGAAGTGAGTTGGTGTTTTGAACTCTCTTTTGCATAGATATCCTATACTATCGTAATTCTTCCTAGTAGCTCAGTTACCATTACAGTCTATTATAGTCCATTGCTAAACAGACCTCCCCCGTAGATTGCCTCAAAGTAGATATTTGACTTAGTTGCCATGCTTGGCAAGCGGTTTGGCAACTGCAGATTTTTAAATCTCAATAGAGTAGATGACTGAGTGCTGCCATCTGCTTGGGATCTGTAATTAATAAAATTAAATCCCAACTCAAGCATACAACTGCTGATCAGAACAAGAACAGAGTAGATCAGAACAAAAATTAATAATCTTAATCTGGAGGTAGCCTAGAGTGTTTTTTAACTATGACATTGTGACACCCCCCCCCCCCCCCCCCCCCCCGACTATGGAATGATATGTTATCAGTTAAGAGGTCTCCGATTTTCGTATATCATCATATGAAAAACGTGTATTATGCTGATATTTAATGCAGATATACTGTGCAAGCATGGTCTTTTCCCGCGGTGAAATGGACCCATTCATGCTGCAACATCCGTCTAACACATCATGTTTTTAAGCAAAATATTGATTACCAGGTCAGCATGGAGGATGTGAAGAAAGTGTATTCTCTATTCTTGGACGAGCACAGATCTGAGCAGTTCCTGAAAGAGTACCAAGATGAGTTCATGTTCGATGATGGAGCAGGAGGTATTATATCTTTTTTTATATTAGAATATGAAATTAATTTCGTAAACACTGTTATGATATAACTTTCCATTATACCAAAATAATCTTATAAGTAATGCTTGAATATGAGACTGATAAGTGGAAATATGATGATAGTGAGGAAGCTCAAGGTCGCTCAGCGAGCTATGGAGAGGGCTATGCTCGGGGTTTCACTGCGTGATAAACTTAGAAATGAAGATATCCGCAGTAGAACCAGAGTAACTGACATAGCCCAACGGTTTAGTAAGCAAAGGTGGCAATGGGTCGACCATATAGCTCGAAGAACCGACAACCAATGGGTTCCGTTCCAACCATTCATTTTAACGAATTTAGTCATTTGACGCAGCCTTAAACATAGTTTTAAAGGATTTTCGATATTTGATTAATAACTATTAAATGTCTATGGGCCAAATGTCTATTTGCCATCAGGTGAACTGTGCGTTCTTTTGTCACTCTTATTCTACAAAAAACTTTAATCGAGGTGAAATCATTTCTAACTTCTCGACACACACACACACACACACAAACACACACACACACACACACACACACACACACACACACACACATACACACACATCTTTCGTCTTTTCTTCCTTTAACAAAAAAGCTAGTTCTGTAAAAGTTCACTGCACGGCCAAATACGCATGTTAAACCATTTTGTTGGTTACAAATTATTTTACGTGCACATGTGGTCTTCAATACGCGTTCTAACAATAAGTCTTTTGACTTGGTTCAAATATACGCTGCACTATGTCCCATCTTTCTTTGTTTGTCTGACTTGTTCACAAAAATATGGATTGTAACAAATTTTTGTACTGTTACAGACGCACCACAATTGATGGAAGTAACCCAGTAAACATGGTATTGTCAGTACCACTACACGAACTATATTCCAAATAAAATATTTTGTGTTATTGGGCAGAATTTTTTGCCAAGAAAGAAGTGTACTTTTTAAGTTAATTATAAGTCTCGATTAAGATTATGTTATATAATAAATTCTCATAATGTTGGATCTTGTTTTATTTATCGAGTTGTGTCAACTTAAATTAAAACAAAATGTGTTGTCATACTAAAACTTCACCCGTAAATTAAAGTTAGACTAAATGCTAGACCCGAATTTGGCTTAGTGGTTTATTTCTTAATTATTAAATGTATCTGACGAGAAAGTTTCAACATTGGTGCATAATTTCTTACCCAAAAAATAGGGATTCCTGATGATGGCAACACCGTTGCATGGCATGCCCATTCCATCCCAAAAATCGCAACGTTCTCTTAAGAAAAGTATATTTGGTGCTCAACCTTATGTGGTAACAAACGTAGGTGGGACAGCCAGAGGTTAAACGTTACACCTAAAACACTCTTGGACAATCATCTCAGTTCTGAGAATATTTTTGGTTTGAGATTTAATAGAGGTTATGATTGGCAAGTAATATAGGTTATTCCGTCTATCCACCCTAGGGTAGATACTCAGAAGCGCATGTTCATCTATCCAACCGAGACGGGGTGGATAATTGAATTTTTAATCCGGCGCCAGCACCGGTAGAAGTCATCACCGTGCCGGCGCCGGTACCGTGCCGGAAAAGCGCCCTATAGATTTCCCTTAATCCACAGAATAAATAGTACAAAAACAGAAGGATCATTCTGATAGCAAACTAGCGAGTTTAAAATTATTGTTCAGTGTGAGGAAGGTTAATATGCAACATCGAGAAAAATTAAAATTATAATAACGTGAACGTTTTTCATTTTTAAACGACTTCAAAAAAGGAGGAGGTACTCAATTCGACTGTATTCCTAGTGTGTTACCTTTTTTTTTTAGGTAAACTGATTTTGATGATTGTTTTTTTATTTGATTGTGCTTATCATTTATATATCCCATGATCAAGATCTGTCCAGTAGTTTTGGAGTTATCCGTAATAATACGTATTAATATTGAAGTCTGTTGTACAAAATGTTTAATTTCACTTCTTGTCTCTCTTCCTCTCTTTTTAAAAAACGTTACCTCCACACCAGGATTTTCTCCTGTACCGCGGGGGCAGTTTATATACATAGATTTCACAAGGACAAACATCCAGACCCAGAACAGTTATTTGTAGACGATACAAATACTTGTTCCGTGCGGTATTCGAACCCGCGGCCCTTAGCGCTGCAACTCATTGCAAAGCCACTGCACCATGGAGCCGTCACTTGTCTGTTTCACATTTTTTGCAATTTAAAAACATGCGACACGCTACGGCATTATTAATGAAAGAGTGGCAATGAGAAGTGCTGCTATTTTCTATCTCTTTCTTTTATCGACCAAGTGTAAAACTATTAACCAGTATATGCTGATCTTGCATTAGTAGGCAATCACTAATACTGGGAGGTTTTTAAGGTCATTAGCATTATACGCGATAAAATCGATAACTGCGAAGCTGTGTTCGGGTCGCTAATTAAATAATAAATCTGTAACTATAGCGTCAGTAATTAGGTACCTAATTATCTAGATCTACCTATAAATAATAATATGTTACCTTTCGGTATCCTTAGGAACAGTAAAGAATGAAATGCCGACATTCCTATTGCTATTTAAGCACACACTCCGTGCTTTAGGCATGAAAATATGCATACGCTGCGCGGCCGCCTACAAAAGCCTAATTCAGTGAGGTTGTCACGCGCGCGCTCGAGTTGACGTGCACCTTATGTTAACAAAAAAGTATTTTTCTCTTATAAGTATTTAGGCACTTTTGATATTTATTTTCTAGTTTTTATTCAAATATGGCCTCTCTAAAAGTCAAAAGGTACTGTATAGCGTGCAGGTGCTTAATCTCAGCTTGCACAATAAGGATGGGCAAGTGAAAAAACTATATCGTATCAATATTTTTAAACGTTATCGACATATATCGCAAAATAAATATCGATATATCGTCATGTTTTGCATGATGTAGTAGGATAAGGCCCAAAATTATATTACTGGACGGTTGGACTAGGAAAAAAAACGACAACAGCACATGAACGTTTTTTTTGCTTAATAAATTAAAGTTAGTTTTTACTTAATAAAATAAATTAAAGTTGTAATGCTAAATGTGGCTGTAGAAGAGTAGGGTTGTTGTGTTCAATAGTCTTGTTCCAATGTTCAATTGAATCCAATAGACGAAGATTCATGTGATATCGATGAATAGACAGATGATTCGTCTTCAGTTGAACAATTTATGAATATCCAGTATGAGGAAGAGACAAAAGAAAAAGTAATCGAAGAAGACATGACTGTTGAAGTCGAATTTGAAGAGTATGAGTCAGATTAAAATATTAACAGAAATCAGAACTACAGTTTAAATCAATCAGCTATGTCAATATCAATACCAATTATCATCATGCAGGTAAATAGCAGCGATTTCCCCCCGAAGGGCAGAAAACGCTTATTTAGGTTTCAGCCGTTCGGCTTGATCCACCTTGAGACTACGCATGTACATTCTGACGTTATAACAGTGTGAAGTTAGCTAGTTTCGATAGTAGCGCCCTCTGTCGCAAGTGTGAAGTGTATCAACTTCACTCTAATGGAGGGGACTCATTCAGTGCGGGCGGTGTATTGGTCAGTACAATTTGCAAGCCCGCAAGGCACTGAAAATAATGGTGGATCAAGCCGAACGGCTGAAACCTAAATAAGCGTTTTCTGTCCTTCGGGGGGAAAACGCTGTTATTTAGGTGTTCGAACCTAAAGGCTTGATCCACCTTGAGACGTGTTTCTTATCTGCCGGCGCTGAATGAGCGTACTGTGATTAACTGTTAAAGGTTATTTATAATACAATAAAAAGGGAATGTATGAATAAAGTGTATTTATTCTTAAACAGAGTAATATAATCATCAAGCTAACAAAAAAAAATCTTATTCTTGATTAAAGGAACTTTGACTACTTATCACAAGTATAATAAATCAGTCGATTAACGCAAAATTATCTAAAGGTTATTACTGATTGTATTTGGGACTTTAGGGTTGTTTGGTTTGAGATAATGATTGAAAAATGTTTTTGCAGTTTGCCAATTACCCTTTTTCATAATTTCTTCTATGTTTGTATACCCGCGTAACCAATTACTGAAACCTAATTACTAAAAAAACAACGGCTGATCTGCAGCTACCTGGTGAGGCATTTATGTTGGCTTCTTTGAACAGTGTGCGTATCCATCCCGCTTTCACTGATCTTGAAGCTGGGGCGACTTTACCGCGGGTTGTTATAAACAAATTTGTAATACCTTTGTTTCTTCGTCTTGGTTCTGATATTTCCTGTAGGTGTCCAGTCCAGGTAACGAGGTCTAAGTTTTTGACTGGGTTCATTGTTATTTACCAACCTGATTGTATGTATGTTCAGGAATAAATAAAAAGGAGCCAAATTTAGACCATAATTTAATACTTTTATCTGTTATTTCAAAGAACTCGTCGCTAATATTTAATAAAGTTAGATCGTGGATTCTTCGACCTGTGGCTAGAAGTAACAGGATAGCTAGATGTCTGCTGACTTGAAAGATGCTATCCTCATTTAAATTGTAGCACTTTAACCACTCAGTAAGTTCGTTTACGTTCCAGGTAAGTCTACTAGGATGTTTCCACCCTTCCAAACTGATGCCTTTCAGCATGTGTTTGACCAGAGGGTGCGAGCCGATCGATGCGGTAGCATCTGGATTCGTAAAAGTGCATACTACTGGTTTATGTAGTGCTATGGTGTTTGGCGCTAGCTTCATCTTGGTATGTAGGAATCCGAGATAACGTGCTAAGTCTGTTGCTTTTGGTTCTTTCACAGAGACATCTTCTTTTAAGGCCCATGCGACCCACTTTTCCCAAGCTGGTCGGTATGTTTTGATGCTAGATTGTCGCCAAGACTTTTCCACTACGTGTTTGAGTTCGGTAGGCCAGGGGTTAACGAAATTGGACCAGCCTGTATGTGCCATACCTGCAAAACTATTGTGTCTATCCCCCCGTGGAGGTAGGTGAGTCCGCAGATTCTCCAGCCGGAGGGGTTTGCTGGTAGATCTGTTTTCCAACATCGGCATCCAGAATTCATTTGTCCATTCCGGGGTTTCAATCAGGTAAGTCCCCGTGCACTTGTTGAGATGGCGAAGAACCCTTGGTATTAGTGCTGGCGGTGGGAAGACCCACCCCAGTTTGAAATTCCATGTTCGACTGAAGGCGTCCGTGCATAGGCTGTTCCGGTCCGAGACATCTTCGGTTACATAATTGGATACGACTGCCGAACGTTTTGAAGCGAACAGGTCTACTTGTGGAGTTCCAAGCTTCTGGAAGATTTGGCCAAGAATTGTTTCGCTTAAGTGCCATTCTGGTAGACCATTTTGCCTTGATAAGCTGTCGGCAATGGCAATGCCATTTAATTTTGTTATAGTGATTTTCAGTTGCGCAGCTAGGTTTAGTATTCCCGAAGCTGTCTGCAATAGGATAGTTAATTTCGTCCCCCCCCCCCCCCCCCGTTTGTTGATATAGGCTATGGTTGTTCGGTTGTCGGATTGGAAGATAATCGATTTCCCTTTCAGGAACTATTTCTCTCTTTTGAGAACTTCGTAAAGTGCCCAGAGTTCCTTCTGGTTGGAGTGCCAGGCTTTTTGTTTGTCGTTCCATCTTCCTTTCAATTTCTTGCTGTTCATTAAAGCTCCCCATCCTGTGTCTGCTGCATCTGTCGTTATGAAGGCTGATGCTGGTTTCCGGTGAATAGGCGAAGATTTGTGTACATATCGAGTCCACCATGTGAGGTCTTCCCTGGCGGCTTGGTCGATGGTCACTACTTTGCGTCGGTTTGACTTTGGTAGATGTGTTGACGATCTCTGAATATTTCTGCAGTGTAGGCAACCTAAGGGTACGATTTCTGCAGCAAAA